TCCATTTTAAATGAAATGGACTAATTGCAATTCTGTTATAAATTTTAATGGTATATTGAAATATGACCTATACGTACCACAATTGTTTTTTAAGAAATTATCAGTTTTACTTCATATATTATGGATTTTGTTTTCAAACCAAATAAGTGTATAGTGAAAATTTCATTCAAATAATATATACAGGTGCTAGGTCGTACATTAATCACGTGCTTTTTGAACGATATCATTCATAAGAATACGTACAGGGAACGTAAAGCTGTAGCTTTATAAATAACAGAACTCCTCAGGTTAATTGTTGTGGCCCCATTCAGAATCCATTATCATCTGATAAATATTCTGAACTCAAATTCGACTTAGTAAAACGGGTGAGGGGTCATCAAGAGTTGGGTCATCGGAAATCCTTACAGTTTCTTGAGAATCTTTAAGGCCTGGCTTATCAGTACGTAGTGGTTGTGCTGAGATAACAGGAGGCTCTGTTTCTTTTCCAGACTGGTATCCTGTAAGACACTTACATCATTTATTCGTATCAATTATTCACATCATATACAAAAAGTACCTGCGCCAGATTTAAAAAAGACTTAATAAAGTTTTGGAAAATGGAATAATTTTATAGTGCATTCTTAGGACCCTCGAGGTGACCTTTTCGAGTTTCTTTATTTTGTGATACTATGTAGTATGCCAACTCCCAACCAGTTTATTATCAAAAGCTCCTCACTACGATTTTTGATCACCTCTATTAACTGAGTTATTTTGGCGCTAAAACGATTTCTATGTTAGTTTAGTTAGAGTTTTTTTTGAACTACGTTATATTTTTCAAACTTATATTATAAACCTTATAATTTTGTCCCGACGATGGGTATTGATAATTCTCAGAATTCTTAAAAATCTGACTTCAGTATAGAATCCCCAGTCATCATGTCCCTCTTGTAAACCCTACACCTTGCAACAAAATCTAAGTGATATTATATCACTCTTTTTTCAATTATGTCGCCCATGGTAGCTGTATGAATCATCACGTTGAGTGACTCGCAAACAATCTTTGCTGAGTATAGCTGAAAATTAGAAAAGTATTACTTAACGTTTTAAGTTATGATTAACCCTTCAAGTGTATTAAATTTTGTCTAAAAGAATTAAATATGAAATAAATTGTTATACAAAGCAGTTACAACTTATTTCATTAGGAAACACTCCAGGACTGCCTAATTTAAATATTACCTAACCAAAGGTTATCTGTAGGATTTTTAATGAAATTTTATTTCTTTTAGAGGCCAATCGAATACAATTAATTATAATATTTCTTCTATATGCAGTAAAGTACAAAAAGGTTAAAGATTTTAGATATATGTAATGATAAAAGTAATAAAGATATTTTTAGAATGTTCATAATGTACAAATTGTATGTTATAATTAATTTTACTTTGTTTTTATCCGCATAATGTATACACATTATAAATTTATACTATGGCTTTAATAACCTGTACAATAAGTTATGATAAGCTAAAAATATATTCTTCTAGTTTCAATTGCAAATTGATAATAATCGAATATTACTGCATCAATTTTTCCACTGGAGCATAATTGTAAACATACTACATATTTTTATCATACCATATGAGGAATCCACGGCTTGTTCTGATTAAGCAATTTTATTTTAAAGTATTGTAAATACACAGTTTTCACAAGAATAATATAGGTTTTCGATATTTTCCAAATACATATTCACCACAAATATAGCTAAAAGAAATTAAGCACACAACATCTTGAAGAAGCCATATCGAAAACAGCAATAAAATATATTGCAGTGTCGAATAAAAAACGCAAATGTAAATGAAAGTAGTAAATGAGGGTAGGTAGCTGTTATTTAAAAACAATAGCTGTCAAGGGAAAATTGTTGCCAAATTAAAAATGTATACGTCAATTTAAGATAGAAATAAAAAAAACACATTAAAGGAAACAAAAAACTTTTTAATTTTTGTTGACCAGTGTTTTGGAAAAAAATATGCTGATGTAATTTATTAAAATCATTTTATATTTTAAATGACATTCTATTTCTTTCACCTGCCTCTATTATTATAAGATTTTAGTATCTTTACTTATGTAATATATATATGTATGAATGTACAGAACACATATGAATAAAGTTTTAAATGAAAACTATCGAATTACACATTTATATATATACTTATTACTCTTGTTTTGGAATATTTAACTGGTGAGAGGTGAAATGTCCTTGGGCATGATAATTATATACATATTTTTTTATTCATATATCAGTTGCTTGATATAAAGTTATACTCTCATAGAAACATATTCATAAACTGTATAAATTGTCATTAATCAATGAAATTTGCAATATGTCCCTTACTCATGGCTCAATTGACATGGATTATTCAGATAAATTCGATGGCCGCATTGTTAAGGCTGGTGCCAATAAAAAGTAGTGCCCTGTCGCTGACAGATCCGGGGTACACTGACATAGCGGCCGATGGCTTTCGCAGTAGTTTTAGTGAGTAGGGGCCTGCCCAGGCCGAGCCTCCCAAATCCCTTCCGGCCCCACCAAGGCCAGTTGGACGGCTCGTAAAAAGAGTCTCTGTCATCAAAAAAAAAATGGTGCCAATAAAAAGTATGAATATTTTTATTGTAGGCAAGTATTATAAGTGAGATCACTATATTTTTAAAACTTTAATGGGACAAGAATTCACAGGGATTTCTATAAATATTTAGAAAGATAATAATCATTAGCGTTGACAGTTCTTTGAGCAGAATCGTCGTCGTCTACTATTTCTTTATTTCATTGTTGTTGCTTACATGTGTATGTATATTTTACGTAATTGTGTCAGTTACACTAACATGTCATTTTCATTTTATTTCATTCATATTTAATTTATTCATAGCAAAATAACACTTTAATAAATCTCTTTTTTAAATATTTTTATAATATTTTTTACTGTAGAATTTAAATGACTATTATATAATAAATAATAACAAAGCAACGAAGCATATTGTACTAGGTTAAAATTAAAATGGCAACTGAAAGGTAACTGTGCTAATGTCTGATGTTTTGGCCTCAAAAATGTCTCGAAATTCTTATTTTATTATTTACTAATGAGTATTAAATAATAATCTACAGGAAATCCAGGGAATTTTGCTAATAATAATTTGAGAACCTTCTACTTATTATTATAATACGCTCAAAAATTGCACTTTGCTACGGCTGGCTTTTAATTTTCTTGTAACAAAATTAATTTTGTGAGAATTGCGCTGCTAATTGTCTTTTAAATGGTCATTGAATTTCACTTTAATTTTTCATTTAGCTCAGTTCTTCATTCAGGGTAAAATTTTGTAAAAGCTATTATTTTACTCTATTATAACTTCAATTCTAAGAAAGTAAAATATGACTGTCTTTCATTCTTTAAACGCTTCTAAGTTGATGTTAAAATACACATTGATTTCGGTTACTATCACAATTATACTGGAAATCTTACGTAATAACATGTTTATTTTCAACTGTTTTTATAGAATTAATTACACATAATAAAACTAATATACATAGTTTATTAGCCCAATTTTAAAATGAATCCCAATTATAGTTTTACTCAGTACAATATTTCTCTTGTATTGTTTTCAGCTATTTTTATAAGGAGATTGCCATTTACAATGGCTTACAGATGAATACCTGTAGGGATAAATACATTTTAGAAACCAATCTTATGTAATAGTTTGTTACAATTGTTCTTTAGATCTTATTTGACTGTTATCAAGAGAGTAGCATGTATGTTTTTTTATATATCATTATTCATAATGTTTATTATTCAAAAAAACCACACTTAAAGAGTGCATTTTATTTTTCAAAGTATTTGATTATTTGAAAAGATTAAAATGATGGGTTGGCGTGCACAGAGCCACGCGAACCTCTATTTATAGCTTCTTCTATGTAATTAATCCAATACTGACAAGATATACCTTCAAATTGTATGTATTTTTGTTTCATAACATTATTTCTTTGTATCACTTTACCCTTACATATTTAACACAATAAAAATAAAAATTACATTTGGATTTTTTAAATAAGTTTCCCAAAAATTGTGACTCTGACAACGAAATCATGTGAAGAAAGCCATTACCCGAAATAAATTAAATGCTCCTTACGCAAATGTTATTTCTGGATATGGTAAATTAACATTGAGAGGCTTCATATAATTCTAAAGGTAGACAATTGTGATTTTTTAATCTTGTCACGTAATGGGACCACTAATAATACTGTTGAAATATTATATTTAGACAAATATTTTTAAATCATAAATTAATTGGTTATTGTGTTGATAAGTTTCTTAAACAATAATCATATAATAACCTTCCTCTTTCTTTTATCTTGCATTAGCAAGTATTAACTTGTAATTATTGAACGGATGGGTACCATAAGTTATACCACTGTAAGAAAGGCTCAAATGTAATCCTAAAAGTAATTTTCTGTCTTCAATATATTATTTGATTATCAATATGTAAATTCGTTTAAAACAATTTGAGGACCATTGACCTCGACGTCGACCAGCAAGAAAAATGATTGGCATAAAAATAAATACACATACAGTAAATAATGTATAAAGTGTAATGTTAAAATTAGATTTATGTTTCTTTGAAAATTGTAAAAGAATATAATTTGTATAAAAGTAAAGTTATTATTGACGTTATTTGTTTATGATGGATAACTTAAAAATGAAAAATACTTAATAAAAATTATATTATATAGCCACGAAAATTATTTAATTACTAAATTTAATTACATAATTTGAATTAAAACACGCTTTCTTTCTAAAGAAATGAATCATCAAGGGGGCATCATTGAATTTGAGAGGAATTTTTGAGATAGAACTTTTGTTCCTCATTATACATATATTTGTATTTTTTTGTGTTCAGGAAGTTTTCCTTATTGCTGACTTGCCACATTTAGTTAAGGAATTAATCACGTTCGTCAGACACTATTGATAGATTGGAAGTGTTTACTGGCTGATAGCTTGGTATTTCCGTCGAGCAAATTGTACCAAAACCAGCTCATACTTAACAATATTTGCAATAACCTGAAACCAATAATGTTATTACGTCGGTTTAAAGTAAGAAAACAATCTGATTAAAATTCAAAGTTACCTGAAGAATCATCCCTCTTGTGATGTGGAAAAAGACCCCACTCAAAGCAGTAGTTGTGTATCGGATTTGCCGGATCAATCTTTGGATCTGTGAATAAATAATAATTCATTTTACAGTGATTCAGCCAAATATCGTTTGTTTTTCTATCTTACTGCAAAATATTTGTTTTTATTTATTCAGAATTTGGAATTACCGAAGCAGAACGGGTAAGACCTAAGTTTGAAGTCGATGTGTATATTTAGGTATACCTGTCTGTAGTATGTAGGCTATTAAATGATTCAACCGATTTTGATGCTCTTTTTTTACTTTAAATCCATTTTTTGTGGTGGCTCTAAGATAAGTTCCTTTAAAATCGGTTCAGCAGAGTCTTTTTCCAAAAAATAAAAATCATTTTTGGTTATCGATTAAGTGCTTCACAGGTGCCAGGATAACAGTTAAATGTAAATTAAGGGAAAGGAGTTTTTTAATTTGCTAAAATACATTACAGAAACAATTTATATACATCCGTTTAGTAAGTCTTATAAGATTGTGAATAGCCGAATGAAATATCAAATAATATAATTGTTTCACAAAATAAAGTATAGCTGTCTTGAGTGTAACATAAATACATTTTTTTGGTGTTCAGTGAGCAAGAAAAGGAGCAAGAAAAACATATTCATATATATTAGAACCCACTTCAATATCATATTCCGCTGAAGGCAGGTGTTGGATAATCATAAGTGGCCGTTTAGACACAGTATGGATGTTTGCCGCCAAGAACGAGGTGACGCATGATCGTGTCAGTAAAAATGAAAACGAGTAAAAGTAATACACAAAATCTTCAATGGTTTTGACTTTGCTGAAAATATAAAAGTATATTTAGTACATTAAAAACAATTTCATGTGAATTTTGTTATTAATATCTGTATATTAACATGCAAAATAAAAAAATCGTTATAATGTTTTCTTTGTCAATTATTTATTAATAAATTTTGCATATAAAATTATATTTATTTTTTTAATGAATACAAAATAAAACTAGGACATACTATTCTCTTGCATTTGCGAAAGCTTTGAAATTTATAAGCCATTAAGTTAGAAAAATCAGCTAGAACTTAAATTCCTATATGGACTTACCTCATTAAATAAAAAAATTGAGCGCATATAAAAAATAAATTAGTGAAAAACGACAGCAAGATTAAATAACACGTGTTTTTATCCACCAACATGACGAGCGCCACTAAATGAGTATGTAGTATACGAATGTCGCCCCATTTCACAGTTTTCTGTTAATTAAAGTGTTACTTTAGTCACTAAAGTAAAGTTTAGAGAGTATCAATCCAATAATTATGTATTAATACAATTTTATATAGATTTTAATTTTATAAAGCAATCTTGAATTGAAGAATAATATATTTCATTTGTGCAATTAGTCGTTCAAAACTAAACAAAATGGTTGTATTTTGTTGTAATGAAAATTGAATTTGTATTACCACAATATGACTACTATACATATATATATATATATAAGTATACTTATATAAGTATAATAAATTAATCGGTATACTAAATTAATCAGTAATTAAAAAAATCGTATGGAATGGGGACTAAAATAATTTCGTCTTTAAAATATAATAAAAACATTTAAAATCGATTCAATTTAAGAAATTATTTACTTGTTTAAAGCAAAATGCTTTGTTCAGTAAAAATATTTCTTCATTGTACGTGTTACAACAATGCCGATATCTTTGAATCGTTTGGAATATTAAGAAAAACAATGTCTTCGCCAGTATAAATTAAGAAATCGTTTAGGAACATAGAACACTTCTGATTAAAGAAGTATGTGAGAAAGGCAAGTTTAAAAAAGGTATGTTACTTGTTTTTGATTCTCTTCTACAATATTATTAAAATTTTGAAAAAATCCAGTTAGGTAGGTGCTGAGACATATCGTCATAACGTCGGTGAAGTTCCATAAAAATGTACTTTGTAATATGACCATCTATAAGAAAACGACAAGTTAAAAAAAGACAATAGTAAATATTTTAAGATAATGCAAGAAAATCTAATACTTCAAATAAAATTTTTCCAAGCAAGACCAGATAAGAACTTGAAAAATATTCATTCCATTTCTTCAATCCTTGGTACTTGTAAACGACTGATAGTAAGTGTTCCACTGAAAAAAGGAACTCAGAAATTAATATATTTTTAAGAATAAAATAATATACATAATATATTCAAGTATGTATAAATTGTTTCAAGTTTAATTACAAATATCTGAGTTTTAATTTTTTGAGAGACTTATTATTGTTCTCTAACATAATTGTAAGAAACTTGTAAAGATTACAAAAATTCCTACATAAAGCCAACGTCATTAAACTCCATGTTATTCTGTCGTATTTTTTTACGTTAATCGTTTTCGGGCAAATCATAAAGACCCTCTTCTCAATGTCAGCGGCTCTTCTCAAAATCTTAAACCACTTGCGTGCTAAATTTAATAACAATAAACTCGACAAAACTCCGGTAACATGAAACAAGAGATTTGCTGAAATTGTTAATATTTTAGTACATATAAAATCTTAATAAACTTTATACCTATTATGTACTTTTTTTGTATTAACTTACTCATAGTGCCCAAGCCAAGATTACTAGTGAAAAAACGATAAATTGTATAACCAGCAAAATAAGTCTGAGTTGCTACGGTTATAACATAATAAATTACGTAAAAGGATCTTACGTTGAACCTGAAATAAACGTGTAATTACAGTTATAAAATTTGTTTACGTTTATAGCTAAGTAAATATTTTATTTTAAACGACATTTTACGACTTTTGTTTCTAAAATATTCTGTTATTACTTTCAACACCTTTTTTTATTTTCAACTTTCTATATAATGAAGTATTACCAAGATATGTTGTGTATGTAAGAACAAAATGTTTACATTTATCTTTTCACCATAATAACTAATAATAATTAAATTCTTAATTGTTTGAATTAGTTCATATTTAAGTTTTCAACAGGTTCATTTTTATTTTATTTGTTATGTTTAATGTGACCATCGTTGTTGAGTTTGCAATAACTAATATGTACCTACTAATTAAGCTATAAGAAACTATAATTTTAAACTTGTTTGTGGTTCCAATAAATCAAAAAAAAAAGATATTTCCTATTAACAATCTACAATAACAAAATTTATTTCAGTTATCAATATAAAAGTGAAATATTAACCAACTTTTAAATATGTTAAAATAACTGATATCAGCTCTATAATACGAGTATAACCAAGGCATAGAAATAATAAAACAAGAGTATAATCAAGAAGAGATTAAAAAACATTTATTAAACATTTAGAGACACATTTTTCACCGTTAAGAGAGGTAATACTTTAAAATTTTAACTAAAATTTAAAAAATTAGAAATAGTCGTAGTAATTAAATACCTTAGTTTGCACATATTGAGTTTATCAAGACCTTCAACGGGAAAGAAACCAGCCCATCGACATAGACGCATCAGAACACGCAGACAGACATGCATCTCACAGTGTACATTTACCTTCATTGTTTAACGTTTTTTTCTCAGGTATTTAATTTAATACTATGTTCAAACTATCAATTAAGTTTCTGGTTACAGAGTTACAGTTTTATATATAATACCTTATAAATCTGCCTTTCTGCTTATTCCAGTAGAAACTAATGAATAATGTAATTATTGAACGTTTGCTTACATTTTGATAATTTTTTATCTTTTTAGTGTTGTTAATATAAGTAATGCGTTCTTATTTGTATGTTATACACTGGCCTGTCAGGTGATAATTTGTGTATTTGAGTGACACTTATAAATGTGCGTCTAGTATTTTTATTACGACAATGTTGTTTATTGACATAAAAATATCAAAGCCCAAAACATTTACAATCCAGGACCGTATCAAAGAAATTATGTATATTATGTTGCAACTTTGTTTTCAGGCATAATAATAGTAAGCCGCAGACCCCAGGTTTACTTTCTTTTATGTAGAATTTTGTTCTAGTATCAAAAAAAAAAATATATTTAGAGAAAAATCTTCCGCTTCTCAAGACACTAAAATTTATTCCGTTGATTTAATAGTATCTTTTAAAATATTTGCATAACTGCTTTTAAGCAAATTCATCTTCTCGAAAGTTACAAAAGTCAATACTAAGATTGACGCATGGAAACAAATTCTTTGTTATCACAATTACAAATTATCACAAATAAACTTTCCTTCTACCTGGCAATTTCCCAGCTTTAGCCAGGGTCTGCCTTACATGTTGTGAATAGTTTTGGCTAATTGCTTTTACGACCGGCCGCCTGCCTGACATCAACCTCTTTTGGGAATGCATTAATCAGTGATGTCTAAATACTCTTAGAAAGGACATATGACTCGGAAAAACCTGATTGGTACTTGCCAGGGCCTGGATCGAACCCGCGCCCTCGTGTATGAGAGGCGAACCTTTTAACCACTAGGCTCCCACTAACTATAAACTATGAATTAAAAAAATCTACTTTCATACGTACTGTAAAAAGTATACGAGCCTATGGTTTCCATTTATTCCAGAGTTAATAACCTATATGACAAAGAAAAATCATGTACATATAAACTAATAAACAAATGTTAAGTATCATTGTACTTAAACATCAGAAGCACTTCGTCGAGTCGGACTTTCGTGTTCTCAAAACAAAAATTAATACAAACTATGTAGCTGTTCAAAAACCAAACGTTTTGTAATTGACTGATTAATTTGGTATAATAACAGGACTTCATGTTTTTTATTGTAAATAACTGTTAGTTTATATCCGATCATTTAAAGTATTTTATGTTCAAATTTTAAAAAGATATAATTGTTGTTTAAGATAATGGGATTGTTTAACGTAGTGCTTATATTATTCTCGTTTTGTTTTTTTCGTGCTTAAGATTTTTTTATATAAAAATAACTTATTAAAATAGTATACATACTATAAACTGTTACTCTTTTTAAGAAAATAATATATTGGGTACATACATTAACACAATAATATATACAATTCAAAAAATCTTCTTGTTACTACACATAATTATACTTTTCCCTTTGTATTTTTCTTTGATAATTTACCATTACTGTCATTAAAGCGCACGAAGTGTTATTAAAACACAAAGTAGCAGTGGACATTATTATGTACCATTATCATACAATGTTAAGCGGCATTGGTAAACTTTTAACGTCATTACAAATAATTCATGAGATAAAACAAACATTAAAGCAAGTCACGTACGTGAGGGTGTCTTTGGTAACGTTAGAACTTTTGATATAAGTGATTGATGGATTTATATATCACATTGTTATTAATATATTATGCCGTAAATCAAAGTCATTAAGATTTAAATCAAACTGAAGACGTGATAATTAATATTGTGTCACATATAGTATAATTTAAACTATTCATAATTATTAATTAATTTCAATGGTACATATAATGATTTTGGCTGTGATTACAATCCTTTTAGAGCCTGAATAATAATAACAGTAGTATGGATAAGTAACAGTATAATGTAATATTATTTTTTATGTATAGTTTGAATGTTTTTCATTCTACATTCTTCGCTATGTAATGAGAATACCTTAAAGCGTACTGACGAAGTTAGTTGTATCTACATGAATCTGTAAACCTCAGCTACATAGTTATATGTAGTTATAGCTATGTACATAGTTTTGAAGTACCAAAATCAACATGGTGCCTTTTACCCTTTTTAACGATGTCTTAGTTATGAAGAGATCTAACTAATTAACATCTTTTTGCCTCTCCTTGATAGAGCGATACAAATACCTGCATTTTTCATAGCGACTCTACATTGGACATCCATGCCTTGACAATCTTTGGTAACCTCAGTGTATCGAAAATCAGTGTACCAAAAACTGAACACTAAACAATTCTTTTCCCCTTATCGTGTCTTTGAGAAAACAACCTGGGAACGTCTTCAAAACTTCTATGACGTTAAAAATTTCTATATTGATGAAAAATAAAATCTGTTAGGGCTACTTTGCCATACTAAATTAGATTTTAAAACCAAAACATTTCCTTAAATTTTTTTCTAAGTTTTGTAGGATATGTGAGAATTTATAAGATTATCATTTTTAGAAGTTATGTTTTTTTTTTATCTTCGATATATAAAACGTCTATTAAATATAAAGTCATGAGTAATTTTATAATATCACTTATGCATTCCTTTTTAAAATTTAAAACTAATCTAGAAGAACAATAAGGAAGACAATAAAAATCGTGACGCCTTCAAAAGAAGAGATTGATTAATGATTATGATTGTTTTTTTCAAAATCTTGAGATGTCTATTAGAGTATCAATTGCTCTAAAACCATATTAGTAATTTATTATTTAATCCACTTGTAACATGATAAAACTTTAGTAACACAATTCCTATTCAAATTCATTTGTATATAATTCATGTTTTGTTTTTGCACACAAAGTACTCTTTAGGGGCACATTCAACAACTGTGGCTGAAATAATCCCACTATGTACATAAAACTCCGCTAAAGTAGTGGTATATATAAATTAAAACAATATTTTTTACAACATCACATTCATCACGTTGTTCACATTTCATTAAAGTGTATAACATAAAATGACGCCAACCACGAAGTTTCATTTTTAGGATCGATTAAATCATTAAAATATACCAAGAAATAAAAAAGGAAAATATTTTAGCTCTCCTTCGATTTCAGCTTGATTATTTGCACTTATTTATTATTTAATGTTATATGAAAAATTTATTTAAAAAATTAAAAAAAAAAATCTTTTTTTCTTATGGGGGCTCATATTAGGTAGAAATTTAAAATTTCCCTGATGGGAGTAATATTACTAACTATTTTAATTAAATGCAAACACAATATTCCAGTTAAATAAAGCATTAAAAGTTTGAAGTTTTATAAAATCACAAAGTAGTTTCTATATTAAATTAAAATTATATATTTTGAAACTATGTAAAACTGAAGAGATTTGAACTTTGTATTATATACACTTTGAAATTCTCATATTAATATCATAAAAAGCTAAATATAGGTACGCGATGTAAAACAATTTCATGAACGTGTTTCCATATACTTATTCACTTTATATAATAATTTATAAGGACATGTAATTATAATTTATCTGTATATCCTAATACATATTTTAAGCTATCCATATTCTTGCTGTAAGATAACTAGAATGTTTACTTGTAATATGTATTACGAAAAAAATCATTAAAAAAGTAGTTCAGGAACTCAAGACTGTATTAATTTGGTTAAAACTAAAACGGAGACTTTCGTATTAAGATATCTTTAGTATTGATAAATGAATTAAGGTAAAACGTACTGGTTAATGGATTTCTAAGAAAGATATTTCTTTTGACATTCGGTATCTATGTATAAAAAACAGAGATAAATCCACACAAATAAAATTGTTTCGTATTGTATTTTAAATAAATTTGATTTTATAAATCTCATTTCTAAGAGTCTTATTTTTGAGATTCATTTTGTTGGAGTACGTTCAAGCACTTTGTTTTTATTCTTTTAAAAGTATTGAATAATAGGTAGTTTATCTTAAGTATACTAAGTTAAATAACAAAACTCTTTTTCTGATAATTAACATCCATAAGACGAGATGTGTAATTTTCACACTAAATTTCCTAATTTTATTAATTATATGTTTTAAACGATTACATTTTAACATTAAACCTAAAACTTGTTCAAACTTACAATTTTTATGAAAAAAATTATATTTTCAATTGAATCTCTTCAGTACTTTTTTGTCTAAAACTAAAAATCAATTTCTTGACTTGTGGAAATTTTTCAACTCAGATTTTGTCATTGTATCATTGAAGAGAGCAATGTAACTATATACAATTATGCATGTAAATACGAGTAGGGTACTATGATATAATAATCATAATGATGTTCAATCATCATTTATCAATATCGTCGTCGTCATCAGCCTATCAGAGCCCACTGCTGAGCACAGGCCTCTTTCTCACATGGAGAAGGTTTGATCATTAATCACCACACTTGCTCAAGACGGGTTGGTGATTTCAAACTTATAATTGTGAAACTATAAGTCCAAGTTTCCTCACGATGTTTTCCTTCACCGTATGTCAGGAGTGTCTAAACACTCTCAGAAAGTACATATGACTCCGAAAAATCACATTGGTACTTGCCAGGTTTGAACCTGCGCCCTCGGCAACGAGAGGCGGGCCCTTTAACCACTAGGCCACCACTGACTTTTTATCAATATAAAAAGAGTAAAATATGACGTCGACAACAACAAAATGCATAGTTTTGTTTTTATTTTCGTAATTGACATAGCGTCATTAATACTTTTTATTGTGTTAAGGTTAAAATCTCATTAAATTTTAGATACTAATTGATACCGCGATTTCATTGTATGTGCAAGATAAATGTCACTAAACTTATACTTATCTATAGTTGATTGACGCTTCAAGATTAAAACTCGCTATAAAGAATCAGATCTTGATTTGAAGTGAATTTCGGAAGTTTAAAGAAAAAGTGAACTG